TCTCAACAGATTGTCTTGGAATGTTTTGCTGATAATTAGGCGGAGGCAGATGTTGCAATGGCTAGAAGTCCCCACTGTTTTGGGATGGTTTAAATTTAACAGGAATTTGCTTGCATGCTTTGAGCAAGGCTACATTTTAAGTGATATAGTCATTCAAATTCTTAAGTGTGTTCAAAGCCACATATTGTCACAAGGTGCTTGGCCCCCGAGAATCGCTGCTTAGAGCTATATTTAGACCTCTGAAGGGAAAAAAAGCACACCTGCAGTCAAGCAAGGTACTCACAGGCCTAGTGTGAACCTTATGCAGTGAGAGAAAACAGGTATTCAGACACTCTTATTTGTTTTTGTTATTTGATATACTTTTATTGGATCCATCCACTTTAAATTCTCACAATGCATTTCAACTATGAACTTATAAATACTAACAAAAGTATATATTCGTGTGTGTATGTAAGCATAAACAATGACGTTTTTAAAAATATACAGCAGAAAAAAAAGCATTCAGACACCACAAATTAATTAGATCAGTACTTTGTTATAAAGCCATTGTTGGCAATTATAGATAAGTAATTAGCTTTTTCATAGTGATTCAGTTTTTGCCCATTCCTCTTGGCAAGCTATCTTCAATTCCCCAAGGTTTTGAGAGTTCCTCTGATGGACTGATGGAAAAAATTTTAATAGGATTCAAATGAAGAGATTGGCTAGGCCTTCACCTTCACCTTCTTTTATAGAAACTAGTCTTGAGATATTTTGGCTATAAGTTTGGAATCATCTTGTTGAAGATGGAATGTGCTTTCTGACTAATTCTTATACTTGAATATCCATCCAAGTTCATAAATGGATATCCGGTTAACTGCAGAGAAGGAAAAAAGAAACAATGGCAAACAAAAAGATGGGTTTTGGCTATTATTACAAATTAATACAGAGCTGTAACTTACCTTTTTAGGTGACAGCACTGGTGTTACACTAAAATTTAGCATCATACAAAACAACACATTTTTATTAAAATATAGCAGAGGGAACTGGTCGGTTTTTGTGTTGGATGAGTGACATCTCTGCCTTCTCAGTCACATCTTTATCAACATGTCCTTGCATTTCACTTGCATTTCAACATATTGCAACATAACATACAAGGAGATTCACTCGAAAGAGGCCCCGAATATTGTTTTAACTCCCGTTAGGATGAAGCAATCTGAACCAAAAAAATATGCTACATACCTTGCGAATGTGTAATCGATTACATTTTCAAACGGCCTCCGCCATGAGAAGGGATCAGTGATCGAATCGTTTCCAGTTTCCGTACCATCTTCTGAATAACTCTTTGAGAGTACGTCACAAACACCATATTTCTTCCTAAATTTACTCTGACATCGCTTGAACGAAGTGGTGACCCAATAGGTTCGCACCATGAAGACGCGCTGCTCAATACTGTACACCACCATCCTGATGAGAAGTCCATATACTGCTCCATATAGTGAGGAGCACATAAGACATTGTTACGTTCAGATTGCTTCGTCCTTGCGAGAGTTATTACAGGATATTCAGGGCCTCTTTCGAGTGAATCTCCCTGTACTTGCAGATATGAGCAAACCTCTTATAGTCTTCCTGTGATGAAACACAACGAATACCTGTACAGTGATTACAATATTCGAATACTGGCACCTTTAACAGTTAACAGAGAATTTGTGTATTCATGTACATTCCTAGTTGAAATGTCCACCTTTTCTCAAGGTTCAGTTTCTTGGCCAATGAGATTAAGTTCTCCTCTTATATGTCCTAGCACATTGTTCCATACACATTGCCTTGTACGTTGTAATACCCCAGCACCACTTACAGTGAAGCAACCCCAGATCATGATGCTCCCACCTTCATGCTTCACTGTGGGTGCTCTCTCATATGCCCAATCATTCTTTCTTCAAACATGACGAGCTGAATTATTGCCAGAGTTCTGTTTCTGTTTCACTTGTCCATGTTTTTTCTATGAGTTCCAAGAGTCCTGATTTGTCTAATTGCTTGTGTGCAAATTTTAAACACAGTGATGACTGCAGTGCCGTTCATTTCTTATTGTTCTGTGTGTAATTGTTGTTCTGCTGCTTTTAGGTCATCCTGCAACTCTTATCGAGTCACTGCTGGCTTCTCCCTTAGTTTCCTTATCATTAGTCTGATAGAGCGTTGTGGAATGCATGGTGCACCTGTCCAGGAACGTTTGTGGCTGCATAAACTTTCCACTTCCAGACAGAGATGGTTAAGGTTTTTGCTATGGCTCTATACCTTTTTTCATTCAAGTGTTGTTTAATAATGTTGTCCCTAATAACTTTAGGAACGGCAGTGACACCAGGTGCAATTTGCAGGGGGTGCATTTTTGTAGCATTAACATCTAGAACCTGATTTATTTCTATGTTACTATAAAAATCTAAATTTATTTTAATATAGAGATAGTCCCTATCTCTGTTTATGCTTATGAATACATACTTTTTGCTCAGCTTTATAAGCACACAGTCAAAAGTCACTACATGTGTGAATGTGGAGTGGATATATGCACTGGACGTTTATTAAATAAGTGTCTGAATACTTGTTTCCTTTCACTGCATGTTATTAAACCACATCTTTATTGAAGATTCTCCTTTGAAAACCCCTTTTCAATCTGGACCTAATTTGTATCCCAAAATAAGCCTTTAATAAGACTCTGGTAAATAGATTCTGAAAGTTGTTCAAAGAACCAGGCACATGACTGCATTACCAGCTTTTGGATATTTGCATCCATAAGCCAGATCCTGCGTTTTACTCACGTTATGGTGAGGTGTAACTGGTGTGTGATGATGATGTAAGAAGCAGTAAGGAGGTGGCGTGTGAGTTTTGGCAGGATAGTCCTCACCCACTGCTGCTTTCCTCTGAGTCAGAGCCTACGTACTGCTAGAAAAGGCGGGTAGGCGGGATCCCTCGATCTCTCTCTCTCTCTCTGTCTTTCTCTCTCTCCTTCTCTCACTCCAACGCTCTCTTCTTCTACCTTCGCTTCTCACGCTCTCCCTCTCTCTCTACCTGTTCCTTCACACGCAGTGCTCAGAAGCTCCTTGATCACCGTGGATGACTCACTCCAAGTCATGTTGGTTCTCTTTCACCTCAGACTGCCTCTGCATCTCCTGTGGGAATGACATCCTCATCTGTGCTCATGCTGGCTCTGCCATCAACAGGAAAAAAAATATATATATGAGTAACAGCAAACTTTATTAGTCCTCATCAACTTACTTCAGCATGCAAAGCATCTCAAAGGCTCTTATGTAAGCCGCACAAACACATGCGCTCGTGATCCAACACAGCAACGCCCTCTACACTAGACAAGTGGAGCTGCCTTCACCTCAAATGAGTCACTGAGGTGCACGATACAAAATGCAAAAAAAAAAACAGCTCTTGTATTGATGTTAATCTCAGCAGGACCATAGCTTTGTGACTAATCTAACTTCACCTTCACTTTCCTTCCATAAAGAAATAAATAAAAAGGACCTAAAACAACCCAGACAGTGACTAAGGCCCACACAGAAAGTCCACAGAGCGAACTTCTTAAAAAAAATAAAAATAAATAATAAATAAATATTCTCAATCATTCGACTAATTCAGAATCCACTCCATGAGCTGGATGATCTGCGTGCAGGTGATGTCATTGGCTGGGGACACATCCTCTCAGCGCTGAGTCAGAGAAGGCAGTGAGGGAACCCTCTTCGTGTCTGTCGTGTCTAAATGTGGACATCCTCCTCGGCTGCTGAATCACGCCTGCTTTCTAATCTGTGCTGCCACTGTGGGGTGGGGTGGGGTGGAGGGGGGCTATTTGTGATCACTGCGTGTTTTGATGACACAGCTCAACACGTGGTCTCAAGCAGTAAGTACAAGTTGATCTGGCTGTTAGTTTTCACAAGTTTTTTCCACAGGGGCCACAGCTTAAGGCCAGCATGCAAAGACATTGCTAAGTGCTACAGCGCTCCCTAGTGGCTAGTCATTCACCTTCTAATGGAAAAATGTTATTTATATGATGCATAACAGAATGTGATCTCAACTGACATACCAAAATAAATAAATAAATAAATAAAAGGTCTCAAACACCCCTAAATTGTTAAACAATACTAAATCGCTTCCAACTAGCATCCAACTTTGTGGCTTTCTATAAATAAACAAAAAAAAAAAATGAACACACCCACACCCGCACACACATATATGCTATCGGATACACACCGATGCTATCGGAAGAAAACCATGTGTCTCTTTTCAGTTTTTGACAATTTTAAAAATGCCTGTTGCTCTTTACATTGTATATAAATTTCATGAAGAATGGACCAAAATAAACGGCCCGAAATGACTTAAAACGGTCTGGTTCCATTGACTTACATTAAAAGTAAAGTAGTTTTTTCCCTTCTACTGTCAAGTTACCATTTTGGAGATTTTTCTTCTTCTTCAGAAGGTTCTCTTTTGACAGCAGCAATATATATATATATAATATATATATATACACACACACACACATACATACACACATACATACATACACACACACACACACACACACACAAACACACACAAAAACACACATATATATATATATATATATATATATACACACACGCGTATGTGTGTATATATACACACACATACAGAAACTGACCGAAAAAAGCACTTTCACTAACCGGTCCAGAGTACAGACCCCAACATCACTGAATGTGTTTGGGGTCACTTGGACTGTGAGATTGTGAGAGGTTTAAAATGCAACCAACTTCTAAGACTGAACATTGGCAGATTTCTTTGAAAAACTGAAAAAATGTCTACTGAAAAGAATGGAAACTGTAAATGCAAAGGCAGGACACACTAAATACTGAAAAAATTCTAATTAGTTTCTAAAAGGCGTTGGTGTATTTCTCTATGAAATACGTTTTCTGCTTTTCTCCTGACATTGGGTCCTCTCTGCCTTTTGCCCAGTACGTATAAAGAAGTAAACAAATAAAAAGATAAATAACCGATTTTAAATTTATACACATTTATTCGAACATCCAAAACCATTTTCAATTCACAAAATACACATTTACACAAAATATTACAGAATCCCTCCCACACCTTCTTGAAAAGTCAGATACTGGTGAGACGCTGCGGCTTGTATTCTGTACTACAAGGCCTGCATTCACCACATTAGGCTCTGCACTGTTGAATAAATAATGAATTTGGAGATACTCATTGGTAATCTAGACTAAAACAGACCACACACTGCTTATCTGTGTGCATTCGCTTGACTTCAAATCAAATCAAATCAAGAATTAATACATCCAGGCTGATCTGGGCCTGGAGTTAGGAGGTCAGATCAATAAGTATAGTACATTATTTCATTGAGCCACTCATGATGTAAAGCAGATGAACATTCAGATTTGTTGGTGTAGAAGAGCATGTCATGCCATGTTATGGAAGAGAAAAAAGTGATAACTCCAACATGGAGTACTCAGAAAAATGGCCTTGGCCTAATAATTAAATCTTTAGGCTGATTTTCATTTTTAGCTGTAAATGTTTAGGACAATGAACAGAGAGTAAGTGCTTTCCATTTGTACAGTTAAATAAAAGGAAAGGAAAAAAAAAGTGTCACAAAATATAGTTACCAGCTGTTCAAAAAACAGAGTATTAATGAGGATGACTTAGAAATTGCTTTTTCCTTCACATCTAGTGAACAAACAGCTTTACAAAGTGCATTTTCACCTTTCCAAAGCAATTCATGAACCATAACAGATCTTTAAATCATGGATCTAAGTTACAGAGCCAAGACAAGCTATGTCTTATTTATATGACATCTTCAGAGAAGAAATATTTACTACAAAATAACCAGAAATTATACTTATTTTTTAATTTAAAGATACATATTCTTATGTTCTTTATATACCTTTTCTGAAAGAGAATTGATTAATTCTACTGCTCTTTGTCAGTGAAGCAAAATTCAGACACTGCGTTCTCTTAAGTGAGACGTGAGCATTTCAAATGTGGAATTCTAGCAAAGCAGCGAAGTCTCCCAAAAACCAAACCACCAAGTAAACCCCAGGCTGGGTTTACTGACCAAGAGCTGGCACATTGAATGCCTTTCCACAAAGCATCCTCTTTCCGTGTACCTCTGCGTTCGGCTGTGCAACAGAAACAAAACCTGCAATATCCTGAGGGTGGCGGTATGGATTGGCAAGGTCATATCACAAGCCCTTCCTGCGGAGAGGGGATTTACCTTGGTTACCTTCCCCTTCCCTGAGCAGGACTCAAGCATCATAAACTTGTCCTTTTTCTATGAATAAGTGCTCAGAATAATGTCGTCCTCTAGAAAGGCATGCCACCTTTGATCTGACGGGCCACCTGCTCATCTGTGCTCTCCTCCTTCTCGCTCCCACGCTCCTTATTCCAGTCCTTCAGGCCCTCAGGGAGCGTGGTGTCCTCATCCATTCCGCCCGTGCCCTCCACAAACTCCTCATACGTTGACTTCTCTGCAAACGGCCGCTTGCCCAGAAGCTCCACCATGTCGTTCTTATCCAGAACCTCCTTCTCAAGCAGACGCAACGCCACCTAGTATGGATAAAAATCCCAATCAAACACAAAACCCAGCTTAATCTAAAAGCTGATTTAGGTGTAGGTAGACACAGGGAAAGAGTTCTTGAGTAATAGGTAAGGTTCACTTGTACTTTGCACTTGTACTCCTTGTACTTTGTTAGCCCCCTTTTCACCCTGTTCTTCAATGGTCAGGACCCCCAAAGGACCACCACAGAGCAGGTATTATTTAGGTGGTGGATCATTCTCAGCACTGCAGTATCACTGATGCGGTGGTGGCATGTTAGTGTGTGTTGTGCTGGTACGGCTGTGCTGATGGACTTTTTAAACACTGTCCACTCACTGTCCACTCTATTAGACACTCCTACCTTGCAGGTCCACCTTGTAGATGTAAAGTCAGAGACAGTAGCTCATCTGCTGCGGCACACAAACTGTTGGTCATCCTCTAGTCCTTCATCAGTGGTCACAGGACGCTGCCCACAGGACGCTGTTGGCTGGATATTTTTGGTTGGTGGACTATTCTCAGTCCAGCAGCGACACTGAGGTGTTTAAAAACTCCAGCAGCACTGCTGTGTCTGATCCACTCAGACCAGCACAACACAGACTAACATAACACCACCACATCAGTGTCACTAGAGTACTGAGAATGATCCACCACCCAAATAGTATATGCTCTGTGGGGGTCCTGACCATTCAAGAACAGGGTAAAAGGGGGCTAACAAAGTATGCAGTGAAACAGATGGACTACAGTTTCTAATTGTAGAACTACAAAGTGCTCATATATGGTCAGTAGAGCTGATAAAATGGACAATGAATATAGAAACAAGGAAGTGGTTTTAATGTTGGCTGTTGGTTGAACTGAGAAAAAAATTATAATAAAATATAAAATGTGCCATAATTTTTGTACAGACCACATTTTAAGGATTACTTTTATTTGACCCCAGTATTGAACATGTTGGGGGAAAATAAAAGTAGAGTAATTGTGCGTTGAAATCTTGCAGAAGTGTGTTCTATGTTGAGAGTGTGTACTTGTTTATCATGTAGAAAATCAACAAAACATGTTATCTGACCAGGGGCACCCAAACTTCTGCATATGACTGTAGATATGCAGTAGATTTCACACCACTGTAATAAACACAGTCAGTTCTTTTGTTGGCATTTCAGTTGAAACACTAAATAACAGTCTGTAGTGCCTTGTAAAAGCAATCCACATTCATGGTCTTCCAAATCCTTCACACCCCAGTCTTTCCTCCCAGTACTACTGAGTATGCTGAAACAATAACCAAGTTATAAAGCATAGCTTAGCCTCCGAACACAGACCGCATCTTCTATCCCCCCCGTTCACTCATACCTTCTCCACCTCTGCCTTCTTCACCGTCAGCAGTTGCTGTGTGCGCTGATATGCAGTGCTAATAAGGTTTCGAACTTCTGTATCAATCAGCCGAGCTGTGGCCTCACTGTAGGGCTTCTCTAGAACCATCTCTCCCTGCCGTGGGAGGTCGAAGGACACCTGACCCACCTTCTCATTCATCCCAAACTGCACTATCTGTGGAGGCAAAAAAGTACAAACATTTTACACAAGTCACTTCCATCATACTACTAACTACTATCATTACCTGTGCCTACCCCACTCCACTGCATCTCATTCAGTGTTTACTTGTTGACATGTAATAAGTGCACTACATCTCGCTATATTTAAGTAAATTTTACTGAACAATGTTCAGAAATATGGCAACATTACCTCAGCAGGGACCTGTAACTCTGCTTTCAGCACAAAGTGCACAGCTACAGTACTAACAGCAGAGGCAAGCACTAGATATGTACAGACTGACATTTTAGTAATAAGCACAATCATGTCTTCATGAAAATTCATGAGCAGTGAAAAAGGTGACAAGTTCAGAAACCAATGTGCAGTAGCAGGGTCCAGCTGCACCAGTCCTAGGAGAAAATTTGTGATTTTAACATGAACATTCAAGACTGGGGTAATTACTGTGGATTTATTTAGTACATTAAATTCAACCACCATGCAAATACAAGTCACGTCCGAAAACTGTATCGTTTTGATACTTTTTGACCTATTTGTGAAAAATCATATCATATAAGCAACAGATTTTTCACAAATAGGTCAAAAAGTAATATACAAATTTGGCAGACATCTTCTTTTGAAGATAACACCATATCATGTACAGAGGTTGGCTTCAAAATGGCATGTTGTGTTTGGACCCTGATGATCAGGGTCTGTAGACGGTCACCTAGCTCTCATAGCAGTCATAGCAGTCTATAGAAATCAACAAAATCAATTTCAGACAAGAACAAAGTGGTAGCTGATTGTCTTGGTTGCATACAGTGAAAATTTGCACATATTCACCTTTTTTACCCATATAAACCCACTATTTAAATGCTATTCAAGAAAGAAATCAGAAAATGAAACCAACTTCTCCGCTCATGAAATGTGGATCACTTTTTACATAAATGTTATCTTAGATCTGATTCGGCAATAAAAAATAAATACTATATCTGGGGGTTGGCCAAATAATGACTCTGTTCGGAGGAGAGGATGAATTGCCGCTCAGAATCCTCTGCTGTCAGTAGATCCCCGGTCTCAAAATGAAAAACTCATTAAACCTACACAATTCAAATGAATGGTATTATCATCGTTTAAAATGCCAAATCCACCGAAAGGTGACATATTTGCATGTATGGATAGCATCTAATACATCATCCGAGCTATAAGGATTCTCAAGTCTAGGCTCCAAAGTAAGGCTGCATTCAAACACTAGGCCCAATGTTCGAAAACCTGTCAATGCCATAGCCACATCTTACAGTGGTCAATGCAGATTACTAGAAAAATATCACAACATTCATTAATACTGAACACTGACACCTGTCATGCAGTTTATCAAAAGGTTAAATCCTGCCCTACCTGTGCGTATGCGCTCTGAGTCACTTTCTTCAGGTCATCCTGTGCCCCAGTGGTGATGCGGCCAAAGAAGATCTCCTCTGCGACGCGTCCACCCAGGGTCATGCACATCCTGTCCAGCAGTTGCTCCTTGGTATACAGGTATTGTTCTTTGGGGAGATACTGAGCATAGCCCAGGCCTTTTCCACGAGGGATGATGGACACCTAATAAACAATGTCATTTAGGTGTTAGAGCATGAAGAAAAGCAAACACCAATGAGCAAACTTTTCAAAGTAGTGCTGATTAGACTGGTCTCCACCTGTATATCCTAATAAATACAGCTATACTATCGTCATTATGAGTCAGTCTCAACATACTAAGGAAACCTAGTCAGTGACTCCCTGTGTTTTTTGCTCTTTGAAATATAGGATCTATACAGAATCTTTCAGTCATGAGAATTTCAGTGTTGGCAGAAAAATGCATTCAACACATTTAAATAAGAAAGTGATGGGGAATTCATACCTTTAGTAGAGGGTCTGCATGTTCCAGGTACCACCCAGCTACTGCATGTCCTGCCTCATGGTATGCTACGGTTTTCTTCTCCTCAGGCTGCAACACTTGTGTCTTCTTCTCCAGGCCTGCACACCCACAGAGCATCCAAAAAAACTCAGTACTTTCATTACAGCTCAAGAGGTTAAACACTGTTCTTACTCCCCAGGGTTTTACTACTTGAAAGACAGGTTTTCTGAAGCAGTATTTTTCTCAACAATAGCCTGTGCTTACATAAGGCACACGTTCTCAAACTCACCTCCGATAACACGCTCGATGGCCTGCTCAAAGTGTTTCTGGGTGATGGCATCAGAGAGGTGGCGAGCTGCTATAAGCGCTGCCTCGTTACACACGTTAGCGATGTCCGCACCTGCCAGGAGCAGAAGAATACGAGAAGTAGCAGATATTTCATTTACAAGGCACAAAAGAAGCAATGACACCAGTGATTGTTACAACCACTTTCTGAACTCTTCTTTGTACCGTCATGCGCAAAAGTTTGAGTGCTCCTGAGCAAATTACATGTTTATTCATTTTCTAAATGAAAACAAGTTAAAGCATCCTTTAAAGCAGTGTTTCCTAGCCTGGTACCCAGAGCCCCCCCAGACGATGCACATTTTTCTTTCATCCCTATGTGTTGTAAGGTTAGAGCAAATAGGTGCACCGTCTGGGGGACCGTCAGGCTGGGAACCATTGCTCTATAAAGAACACCCTTCTGCACATTTTAAAGCACAAGTACTGTTTACATGCAGAATTTAACATATTGGGGGAAAAAATAAAACGTTAAATGTGGCATGTGCAAAAATTTATGTTTTATTGTTTTCAAATATGTTGAAATCAGCAAATAAATAGAAATTGTGCTCTAAAATGTGTAGAAAATGGCACAGTTAAGCTTGATCTTGGCAGAGGATGCAATAACATATTTTCAAATGACTTCAATTCAATCCATTATTTTAAATGTTATACATCATTTTATGTAGATATTTTACATTACTTAGTAGAGACTTTTCTCTAAAGCCATTGACAAAAGAACAAATGGCTTTGCACTAAAAGAGTCTGGGTGCTAAACTGGCCTGCCTGCAGTCCAGACCTGTCACCACTGAAAACATATGGCACATTATAAGATGAAAAATATGACAAATGAGCCCCCGAACTGTTGAGCAGCTGAAATCCAATGTTACGCAAAAATGGGAAAACATTTTACTTTAAACAGTTGGTGTCCTCAGTTCCCAAACGCTTGCAGAGTGTTGTTAAAAGAAGAGGTGATGAAACACAGTGGTAAACATGCCCCCTTTTTTGGAATGTGTTGTTGGCATGAAATTTAAAATGGGCATATATTTTTCAAAAAACAATAAAATTTCTCAGTTTCAACATCTGATTTGTTGCCTTTGTACTATTTTCAATGAAATAAAGGGTTTAAATGATTTGCACATCACTGAACTTTGTTTTTATTTACAAGTGACACAGCGTCCCAACTTTTTCGGAAACGGGGTTGTAGTTAAACAGCTTTAATTAAAGCTGAAAACTCATAGATTAACAGTTTTAAAATTATTCACATATGGTACTTAACTCCATATCATTACTGCTATGTAGGTTAATAGATATCCTGTTACTCAGTTGTTTCTGTGTCTGTACTAAGTTACTTCAACTGTAAGACCTGCCTTGAATATGTCAGTCTTTTTGAAGCATTAATCATTAAAAAGGGATTTATACATATGTAACACTACATGATGGAAATCAAGAACAGGAATATGTTTATTAAAATTAAAAAAAAAAAATCGGTTGTTTGTGACAAAAAGCTTTCAGCAGCCAGCAGAAGTTGCTGGGGGTCTAGAGGAAAAATGCCCCTCCACATGCTTTAGCTAAAAACAGGACATCAGGTAACCAGTTGTGATCACTGGCCAAAATGTGGGCCGATAGTGGCATTTAGTGACAAATAATACATCAGCTGCCTTATGATTTATGCTGCAATGTAAAGTATACCCCATTGGTGTATTACTGTTATTACAACCACTCACCTGAAAAGCCAGGTGTTAGAGCAGCCATTTTTCTGGCCAGAGTCTCTTTGTCCAATTCTGCATCCAGTTTTAGGGGTCTCAGATGCACTTTGAATATCGAGGCTCTACCTTTAATATCTGGAGGACCTGCACAGTGGAGGAAAATTGTTAAAAGAAATGCTTAGCTAGCAATGAATTAAGCCTTTTGCTAAAATCTGTTTATCTGTCTTCAGTATATTTATGTATTCCTTTTAAAAGCAATGGCTAATGCAAACTCTTAAAAATTCTGAGGAGGGGTGGATGATATGGCAAAAATATAGCATTGCAATACATGAAGGCATTTTCACGATACACAATATGTATCATGACGTTTAGTTTTTAAGAGGTTACTTGGAACAGACAAAAGTCCCAATAGTGGACTTAAATATCGAAATATTATCAAAAACCATGAAGACAATGATTTCTGTTTAACTTTTCACATATTGCACTGAACTAAATTCAAATAACAGTCTTAATTATGCTCACTCTGTAATGAAACATACAGTTAGTTGTTTTTTAACTAACAATATCTACGACATGCTCAGAAAAACGTGATATAATTGATCATGATAACAATAAATATAGCCACACTGCCCACCCCTACATTTCAGTGCAAAAGATTAAGGGTTTAAGGTCTAGACCACAAACCGATGTATATCTGCCTGTCAAAGCGTCCTGGTCTCATCAGTGCTGGGTCCAGGATGTCTGGTCTGTTTGTGCCAGCCAGGACCACCACATTGGTGGCAGTGTTAAACCCTACATGGAAAAAAACATGGGGAAACATTAGTATTCTAAACACTGGGCTCATCTTCAGGAATGGAGGCTAAAACTGTAGCTTCTACATAATAACAGTTTATTTAAGTAACAGCATCTGATACGCACCATCCATCTCCACTAGTAACTGGTTGAGTGTGTTCTCCTGCTCACTTTGCCCACCAAAATTGCCCCTGCCTCTCTTTCTCCCTACGGCATCAATTTCGTCTATGAAGAGGATGCAGGGTGCGTTCTTACGAGCCAAAACAAAAAGGTCTCGAACCTGGGGAAATTCAGATTACACACATACAGCATAAGACATAATCACTGGTTTAAAGAAGGTAAAAGAAAAAGAGTGTTATAGTTAATAGTTATTTTCTATTAGGGATGTCACTAATGCAGTCACTACAGTAATCTAGCTATTATTCTGCTGATTAATTGAGTAATTATTTTAGTTTTTTTGTAAATCTTTCTAACCCCAATAGAATTTAACAACACTCTTTGGGCCTCTTTACCCTTTACAGGGTAAAAGGCTTATAGAACAAATCAGAATGTTCGTCAACATAAATGTTGGCTGTACTTTTGGTTGGATAAAGCATGCACTTAGCGGTTGAAGCAGCGGTTAAGTAGCAGTAAATACAAACAGTACAGACTGAACCAAATTATGGTCAATAATGGTCAAACGTTGTTGTGTTTTAGACTGCAATATCAAATGTTTTGGGGGAAAAAGGGTCCATATGCCTTTAAGAAGTGCAATGTTTTTCAACTACTCCTGAGTTGTTGTTGAAATAAATAAATAAATAAAGAGAGAGAGCGAGAGAGAGAGAGAGAGAGAGAGAGAGAGAGAGAGAGAGAGAGAGTGAGTGTCTGTTGGGAAGACTACCTTGCTTTCTGCTTTATCCACCACACGTTTAATTTGTAACCGCTAATAAATGCCGCCATGTTTTGCTGGTCCACTGTGCTTCAGTGTGATTTTGCTACAGTGAAAAGCAAGCTAAAGTGACTGGGTTTCATCTCAGAGCAGTTAGCCCTGTCTCTGAGACTTTTTAAGAGTAAAAAAGGTCTTGTCATCCCCATCTATTGCCAGGAAACAGAATCAGATAACGAGTTGACATGTACACCCAAAAACATAAGTTCGCCTATCGAAGTTATTTCACTCGCGTCGGAACATAAACTTGGCTGTGTGTTCAGTAAACTAGCTAAATTACATGAAAACGCACGGCTAAACAAAGATTTAAAAGATCTACATCTAAGCAGAAAAACTGTCAGACTCCTCCGTCTCCATGCATGTCTGATATACAGCAGATCTGAAGAGCAACTTGAGTGCTAATAGCTCCCCTAGTGGTGAATATTCAGTCTGCTGAACTTGGCTTTAAAATGACAATTCCATGTTTGTCATTCAAGTTGAGAACTCATCACTAGGCCAATTCATTAAGAACATACATTTTTCCACTGGGTAATGTATTTCTAATCAAACACTTCACTATAAGAACAAGACTTCAGAAACAAAAGATGAGTCACTAAACTGGTTTGTGTGATTTCGAAGCCTTCACCTATTCTCTTACAACACTGATAAAAGCAATTAAGAAGTGAACAGCTATAACATTTTGTCCCTAAAACAAGCCATTCCTCGATTACCAAGCAGGAATGAGACTAATCACAGAGGCTATAAGAAGATCAACATTTAGTCTGAAGGAGTGGGCTTTTATGGCTGGAAACGGTCACATGGAGCACTTGACACAACAACCTAAGTAATCCACAAATCTGGCCCATCTGGTTGGCTGGCACGGAGGAAGTCATTACTCACAAAAGACCACCATGGGTCATGTTTTAAGTATGCATAAATACTCTCAGGGGATGCTATAGGCATGTGGCAAATATGTTATGTGTTCTGCTAGAAGTTAATTGACCTAAATGTGAGGAAGTACATTTGGCGAAAAACACATCACAGCAAATCACTCAACGAACACTGCCTGCCACACAAGAGATAATTACTTGGTGCCACTGGCAAAAAACATGGCCAAACTGAGGACTTGCTCTTGGTATGTGTTCACCTACCCTGGCAGGGCCAACACCCACAAACATCTCCAGGAACTCAGAGCCGTTAACAGTAATGAAGGGGACGTTGGCTTCGCCTGCTGTGGCCTTCGCTAGCAGAGTCTTCCCTGTACCAGGAGGTCCAGTCAGAATGGCCCCCTAAGATAGTCAAAGGAGGAGAGCGTTTTTTTCCACATATAATTTCTTTAAAGGACACACAAAATGCAGTCTGATGGTGCCGATTCAACTGCACTTTGCATTTTGTAATACTATAATCAGTTATAATTACATTCAATAAAGTATGTGCAAATGTTTTGGCCAAATTAAAATTCTTATTATTGGGTTATTTTCCAATAATTGTCAATGTAATGCCTCACCCAAGAAAAACAATTGCTATTTTTATCCATATTCCACTACTGTGTAAATAGTTCCTCCAGTCATATTTGTGTTTTCAGTTTATTTTTAAAGATTATTCTGAACTATATAACTGTATCGTGGTTCCTTTTGAGATTACATGATGCTAACAACAAATGAAAACTACTGTGCACTAGTTATAATTATCTCACTTGCGTAATGGTAAAGTTTTTCTTGAATTATTAACAACATTAGCATTTCTGGAGTAATCTAAGACACCATGTATACATAAAGCATCTGAAGCCTTTAATCCGTTTGTTACCTTGGGGATCTTGGCACCCAGGTCTTGGTACTGCTTTGGGTTCTTGAGGAAGTTCACAAACTCCATGATCTCCAGCTTGGCCTCCTCACAGCCAGCCACATCCTTGAATTTAACATCGATCTCGTCCCGCAGCACTTTGGCAGTGGTCTCACCGACACTGAACAGGCCACCCATGCCCCTGCCGGGTCGCCCAGCCCCCGCAGGCCCCCTTCGCAGCATGAAGAGCAGGAAGCCGATGATCAGCACAGTGGGCAGCATGCTCAGGAGGAAAGACCTGGGGTGGAAAAAAAGTGGTTTCCAATCATACTTCAAGTTTTCAAATGTAGTAACAATTCCAATAATTTACTTTCAGTTATAAAAGTGTCAAGATGTTCAGAGTGCATTACCCATCACTCTCAGTGGAGTAAACCACTGGCAGTCTGTTCTCTCCTTCAATACCGAGTTCCAGCTGAGCAGTCTCTAGATTCCGCTCAAACGTGTCCACACTGCCAATGTTGAACCACACGTATTGCTGTTAAAAAACAAGCCCTGCTGGTCAATCAAAAAGCACTGTAAAGTCTTTCATCACATTTCAATATTTAGAAGAGAATAATGCAATGCCAGAAAATTGCTAATATTGCTGATGATAAATAAAATCTACAAAAGGTCAGTTAAGATGGATGAAGAGTTAGTTAAGCAGTCATTTTAGCCTTAACATTACTATACATTATTGGCTAAATGTTACTTTAGTTTTATGACTGGGAAGACAACATAAACAGAACGGTTTAAGTTGATTACAACGCTTCTCTAATTTCATTTAACTCACACTGTCAATATCCTTCACAAAGTGTGAAAACTCACCCCATCGACTGGTGTCTTCCCCGGAGAGAAAATGACTTTCACATAGCGTTTGTTCACAACCTCCAACCTGTCAACCTACAAGAACACAAATCATAACCCCAATTTTAGTCTAATGCTTGCAATCAAGATAACGCAGCCAGATATGAAATCTGCTACTACAAACTCACAACTCCTTTTGCCAGGTAGCCGTTCACAAAGTCTTTCCAGGTGACTTCTCTCCCTCCATCCCGTAAGAAGAAATAGTACGTGACGGCTGTCCAGAAAGCTGCGCCACTTAGAAAATACATACGAAACTCCTTGTCGTCCCATGGAATCTCACCCTGCAAGATAAGACGTTTTAAAAAGAGTTTTTTTATGTACTGAATTCTGTTGAATGCAGCATGCACTACAGTAATTTAATGGTAAGTGTATGATAACAAATACATGGAAATATCAAACCCAGAGAAATTCATTATACTATTAAGGGTGAACACTACTGATGTCTTTCCACCAGGGGGTGCAGTACAGTGGTTACAAATTCGAAGTTGCAAGCGTCATTTCCACTGCCAAGTGAACCGCAGCATACCTGAGTGCCCATGCTGAATTTAGTTACCCTTCTTGCTGGGGTACTAAGCATGTCAAGCCAGAACAAAAGAGGAGATAGAAATAGTACAGAACATTGATTGATCAAAAAAAATTCGTCATGTTTCGTCTCCAAAGACACTAAAGAATGAGACCGGTCACTAGTTGAAATATGAATGGGAAAGCTCATAACCTTCAACATGTCTGTTTACAGAGAAAGTCCCATCCTACATTAAAAAAGACCCAACCAAGCGCAAGCGCAGCAGCCAAAACAACCAAAAAAATGTTTTGGGCTTATTTGAGCCAAACACTACAAACTATTCATGATATTTTGGTTAGATTTAATTAGTATTAATATGTAATAATATGTATTAGAAATGGTAATTTGGCCTTCAATGTCAAGCTTTTAGGTCTCTGCTCATTCAAAGAGATAGGAGCCTTGTCTTGCATGACTGAAGGACTCAAGTCAGATTACAGCCATTTCTAAAAACAAACACTAGCTAGCCAGAATCGCTGTCTGTGACTCTTCACATAAAGCCAAATGCAGGCTAAAAAAATAAAGCGAAACTTGAAGCTCCTCCATTATTGCTACTGTTGTTTGTGCTTACTGTTAACAGTAGTACAGCATGACAAATTATGTGACAAGCATAAAACTTCCAGAAATGCCCAATTACACTGTTCTTTTGTTCGATGGGAAGCGAACACAAGTACACACAAGGGTATGGATAGGTCAGTGTTCGCATTAGCAACCATACCATGTGGTACCACACTTCCTGGTGGAAAAAACACCTTATGTTCATCACTTAGCAGGAGCAGATTTTCTGAAAAAAAAGAAGCCAAACCTTTTGGAGACGACTGTACCAGGTGGAATCATCCTTCCTTCCACCCCTTTTGCCTCCACCCCCACCACTGCCTCCTCCTCCACCTCCATCAGATTTCCCAGTGGTCTTCTGGGCATTGCTTGTCTTGGCGTCTGGATTCAAATAAGGAAAAAATTCAACTCATCTGCACACTGTTTTATGCCTACAGCATGGTTCATGTTGAGTGGATTCACAAGTATAGCTTAATACTGTAGTCTTACAAAGGGGCAGAAATTACACATCACCTTTGGCCTCTGCACTGGGTGTCTTGGGCTCGCTGCTCTTTGGGCTGCCATTCTTGCTATTTGGGAAGTATTTTTCAAATCCTTAGAGAAAAAAAAAAGAAATTAACCCCAAAAAAGAAGAGTAACATGCAACTATATTTATGTTGATGGCATACCTTTTGGAGGCTTAGAGCTTAACCTTCTGTAAGCTCCCAAGAACTGGGAAAGCAACACTCCTCTGTCAAGAGTTTGCAGCACCTCTCTCTGAGTAGATATCTGAAAAACATAAACAGACAACTTAACAGGGAGTTGGAATACCATTGATTACCTTTTACACCTGAAATGAGAACTAAATCCTGAGCTACTGTCGGCGGGGAATCACCTCTTAATGCGTTTATAACTCTAAAAAAGGTCACACCATAATATTGGGGCTTTATAGCCACAACCAAACAGTTAACAGTGCAGTAAGATTACTAAGGGAATAACAGTACTTCTAACTAATCCATTGATCATAAAGACTACAATTGGTTATAACTTTAGTATAGTAAAGCCTAAGGTTTACAGACCTACTGCTGTAAACCAAATAACAGTTAGCTATCTTTAGGTTTAGTAGCATAGCTATGCTGCCCAAAGTGGTCATTTAGTCCAACTAAATATAAGTACAAAAGGTAACTTTACTAACGATTCTTTCAAAATGTTCAGAAAAACACAGAACAATAAGCGTACAGGAGGTGTATGTGCTGACACTAACACAAGAGAATAAAAGAGATTATTAAAGGGCTCATATAAGGAAAAAATTAATTCATTGTTTTTGTGATGTCAAATTTACAAATATTCAGCCTAGTCGGTAAGGCTGAATGATTAATCTTTTGAAATCATAATGGTGATTTATGCCTACAGTCCCCGAACCCCAAAAAATATATATATATATTATAATAATCGCATTTGAATCACAATTGAAATCAGGCTGGAAATGGTTTTGTAAACATAAATTATGAGTGTTGAACCCATACAAATGGCATAAGTGGACTCCAGGGAATATATAATACAATAAAATGGATCTGTGCCCTGTAAGCTTCAAAATGTTTAATTATTATTTGCAATAAATAACCTTTTTCCCTCTTATTTAGCCACACTGCCTACAGTGGAACCACTGACAGTTCTACCCTTAGCCTTGATGCTAATATAGAAACGTTTCTCCTCTACACTCAAATGGCTTGAGTGGTCGAAATATTCATTGTCATTCATTTCAGCACTACTGAATGAGGACGACACTCAACAAAAATACATAATAAAAACCTTTTTCTACACAGTAGCAAACTAAATATGTATTACAGTGACTGACCTCACAGAAAACGAGAAGCTAACTTCACCAGCGTTACTCGTTTCCACCTCCCTAATATTTACAGTTATAGACCCTATAAATAATAGACACATAAGGCCAGTTAAACTGTATCTGTAGATAATGGTAGTGAAGGTTAAAGCTCAGCTGTCAGTGGCTAAAGCTGGTTAGCACAACAAGCTAAAGCAATGAGGCTGCACCTTACCACTCGCCCACAATTTGTGGCTCTGTAATTAGACAGGAGAGCGCCGAAAAAGTTCCTGCAGCCTCTGGAGAGGCGAAGATATCTGTGTGCCATGGTGGCCCAACACGGAGACGCTTTAATCGACCCTAAAAACGGTTATCAGGTAGAGAGCGCGGAGCATAAACAACTTCGTGTGCCATACTAAAAAGCAAGGCGAGTGAGCTTCCGGCGCATGCGCGCTCTCCAACGCTACGCGTTCTGCAGATCTCCAAGTCATAGATGTCTTGCGCAGCGGACGCGTGTGGTATGTAGATCGCATGATTTGCATAAGCCTCATGTTTGTCCTTACGATGCTTCAGCGACCATGATTGTGTAAAGGTAGCGCTTATTCAAACTCTTTTTTAGTTTTATGTGTCACTTTATGAAAGAACTTCAAATAAATGTAGCTTCAAATAAATAAAAAATAATCTACAATAAGTACTGGTTTAAAAATAACATCTAATACGTAACAATTATTATTTCACCTAATATATATACCAGGTGTTTCACGTGCTTATGCAACCTCCTGTGTGATAAATGAGCTTTAATAAATCTAACTGCATTCAAAACTGCACTTTTATTTATTTCTTAGGAGAGGCTTGTCTAAAAAGGCTACACTATAAAGAGACGCAAGGACATTCAAGAAAACAAGACTCCTGGCTTAAGTCTGTGGAGAAAAGCTGTTCCAAAAGTTTGATTTTCTCAAATTAACAGTCAAATCTCAAGATTACTTTTCAAATATTTGAATAGGATTTGTGTTTGTAAGGACTGTAACTTTAAATCATAACTATAAAATAGTAAGTGCATAATATTTACGCATGATCACATGTCACAAATTTATAAACCAGATATTTAACAAAGCAGATGATTATAGCTCATCTGCAGCCTTTCCCTAAGAAAGCCCTATAAATGACCAATAAATGGCACCTACAGCAGACGTGACCGACCAGGGTAAGCTGCTTAAAGGTGTAAGGTGCATGCTCATATTTTGCGTGTGAGTCATACATCACTGACTCACTGCTGGACACATGACTGACCACCCAGCTTGCCAAAACAGCAGACCACAAGGTTAGCTATGCTGTCAATGCAAAAGAAAGGCTAAGTCATGATTATTAGGTTAATTTTGTGTGTTATACATTATTAATTGCCATTATGTTAATGTTATAATCAGATATGTACTTAATTTGCTTATTTATTTATATATGCTCACTTAATTAATTAAACCATCAATTAGATTTATAATATTTAATGCAGTTTAAAAAAGGAGGTTATATGTGGGTAATGTCCACATATTACTTTGTTCATTTTGTTTAATTTATTTTAGGGCAATTCCACCTATTTTTTGAAATTCATCTATAATTGATTGTAGGAACTGAAATGAAAATAAAGTCATTTAGGGTGGTTTGATGTGAAATGGCTCACAGTGGAGGAAGTCACAGATTGTTTTAAGTAGTGTTAACTGGAACCACAGGTTGTGATGTATACAATGCAAATCAATGTCTCAGTCATAAAGCATCATTCTTAACCATTCTGTGTGACTATTTTTTGAGGGAGCTTTTAAAGGCATTAAAGGTGCAGTGTGTAAGATTTAGTGGCATCCAGCGTTGAGGTTGAAGATTGGAACCAAATGAATGCCCCTCCCTCACCCATCCATTTCCAAGCGTGTAGCAGAACCATTTATGAAAATGTTGGCTCTCAAATTCTAATCCTAATTCAAGCTCCTGCTTCAACATAAGAAACATGAAAGGTTCTTTACAGCCAGCATTTCTTTTGTCCATTCTGGTCTACTGTAGAAGCATGGAGGTGCAACATGGTGGCCTGTATTGGATAAGGAACCGCTCCCTTTGTAGATATGAAGGGCTCATTCGAAGCTAACGAAAACAGAACAATTAATAGTTACAGACTGTACACTAAAGAAATTCAATTTCTACTAATAGAGCCCCCTAAAACGTACACACTGCACCCTTAAACTCTTCAGATGTCTGGTTCCTATCACCTCCACTGTGAAAACCTGTGACTTGGTAAGTTTCTCTACAACGGAGCATTTCACACCAAACCACTTTGAATTACTTTATTTACCAAATTATGATGATTTAAGTGTGCAGAAATTTTGTAAAATCGATGGAATTTCCCTTTAAACTATTACTTACATTGCTTACACTTTCTTATGTTAACTGTTCATTCTGTAGCAAATTAATTTCTGAGCTTCTTTGGTTGCCCCAAGCTGATTAGCAGTTCTTTACCCCAAAACACAAGTTTTGCTTCTCATATACTTCTTGCTGTCTATCTAACAACAATTAAACATCAACCCCACAAATTGTTTCAAGGATTCTACATAATTAACTCACTAAAAAAGTCATAAGTGCTAAAACCACAGACTCTGGTCTACAGAGATGTGGAAAAGTGTGATATGATCACCACAAGTGGGAGTGCTTGTGCTGCGTACACCAAGAGAACAGTGCAGGCCCGAATGAGACCCTACAGTGAGGGCAGTGGCTCTGTTATGCGGTGAAAGACATAATCTGGGCCCACTTTTTCACTTACCGGTAAGGGTCACTGCAAATCGGTACAAAGTAATGCTGACTGATCACGTTTATCCAATAAAGAACCACTTCTATACTGCTGGGAGTGGCCTCAGTGCTGCCATCCACAGGACACAAGGTGTCACTGAATGGTTTGATAAGTATGAAAATGATGTAAATCATGTGTTTTGGCTTTTGTAGCCACCAGACCTTAACACAGTTGAATACCTATAGGAGTCGGTAGAGGAACATGTTAGAGGTCACATCACCGCCATCAAAACACCAACTGAGAGATTATCTTCTGAAAGAATGGTGTTCCGATCCCTCCAGTAGGCCTACAGTTCCAGAGACTTAGGCCCAATCCCTATTTCTTATTTTTACCCCTACCCCTTGTTTTTGAGTGTCAACTTGACTCTTGGAACTGCTACCCTACAAAATGGGACCCTCAAATAAAAAGAACATTACTTCGTTAACAGGCTACTAGCGGCGTTCTGTATGCGACCCTGCCAGTCTGCAGTGACAGCAGAGGAGGGTAAAGGGGATGGACAATTATGTATTAACGTCCACTCCTAGTTTTTTCAGTGATGTGAAGCTGAAGTCAGATATTCGCCAACTTCTTGTTCAAATTTTCATATTTTTTAATGAAGAAAATTCTCACATTTGTGGGTTTCTTTGGTCGCTTGCGCAGCCATCTTGCAGGTTTTTCTTTTTTTCTCATAACACTGTTTGGAGTCTCTGAAAAACCTCTGTTTGGAGGGCCATGTAGGTCTAACACTTCACCCTACCCCTCTATCTCAACAAAAATCAGGACACCCTACCCTTTGATGTGAACACACAAAACGGGGGAGTGAGGGCTAAGTGAAATGGGATCGGGCCTTAAAATCTATACCAAGATGCACTGGTACTGATGCTCTGGTGGCTTTTAGTGGCCCAGTACCTTACTAAGACCCTTCATGTTGGCTTTTGCATAAATTTGTATGAATTTGTATGAAAAATTGTGTGAATTGCTCTTGTTACCTAAACTTGAAATGCCTTCTTCTTCCCCACCTCTGGCCCCCTGAACACATGGATGGATGTGGAGAAGCTGCAGATTGGGCCAGTGTTAAAGTGCACTCATCCCAGCGCTGACTCTGCGGGGGTCGTAAGCCACAAATGAATTAGAGTGCTGAGTGGCACAAGAACACATAGCCACCTCACATAGCCACCCTCCAGTCCATCACTTTTTCAACAGCCCCAGACCACACATGGATGGTCAGAAAAGCAAGATATCCACAAAAACCTCCCCGCATGAGGGACAAATGATTTTGTTCTGCTCAAGTACTCCCTTGCTTTGAGAATGCAGCACCTGTATATCACTGTTCCATGGTGTGCAGTTAAGTGTGTCTACACAAAAAACTTTTGGGTACAAAAGAAATCAGGCATTTCATTCATAAGAACAAATAAATAAAGATACAGTACTTTGCTAAAGTCAGAGTCTGCCCTTCATTTATTTAATTTCCAGTTAAAATGGCTATTAAGTATAAGTTATAATTTTAAGCACTATGAAAAAAGGCAGAAAGCATAAATTATATTACATTAGTTTTGGCAATATTTCACTCTTTATCTCTATTACAGCTTCCAGACTTTTCAGGAGACTCACTTTCAGTTGTCACAAAATCTCACACCTCCAAAGTTCAGTCTTAGAAGTTGGTTGCCTTTTCTGCTTCTCACTACCCAAGTGATCCTAAACTCATTCAGTGACGTTGAGGTCTGGACTCTGGAGTGGTCAGTTCACCAGTTCACCAATTCACCAGCAGCCTCTTTGTTTGATGTGTCTGTCTCCTTTTCTCAGTGAGGTTCTTCTTGACAGCTACACCTCCTTTCAGACCCACAGCGCTGAGTCGTCTTCTCACAGTGGAAGGATGGACAGAAACACCTGTGGAAGTTTTCAGATCTGAAGCAGCTTGATTTTCTCCTCTATTTATCTAGGACAGTTTTGATGGTCGACCAGGTCTTGCATGGTTGTTAGGAGTCCCGGTTCTCTGTTTGTAATATATATTTTTTAATCCTGTTATAGAAATGATCCTGTTATTTTCAATTATCATTCATCAATCATTCATCATCACAATTAACCGCTTAGTCCAGATAGGGTCGCAGTAGCAGTTGGGAGAGCAGAGAATCCCAGAGGATCCTGTCCGCCCGCAACTTCCTCCAGCTCATTCCAGGGGACCCCAAGCCGCTCCTAGGCCAACTTGGAGATATAATCCCTCCAGCGGGTTCTAGGATGACCCCAGGGTCTTGTCCCAGTAGGCCATGCCTGGTAAACCCCCTCTGGGAAGCATCCAGGGGGCATCTGGATCAGATGCCCGAACCACCTCAACTGGCTCCTCTCAGCGTGGAGGAGTAGCGGCAGCATTTCAGATGGTTAGGAGCAAGTAAAAGGCTAAGAGGCAATTTAGAGCTGGACTGTTAATACAGAGTAGATTAAGCTAGAAAGTGCAAGCGTCCCAATTCAGTATTTCTTACAATGGTTATATTGGTTATGACCGACTCCAGTGATCATCCATTAATGAATACATGAATTCAGTTATTCATTTCCTGAGTCTACAAAATGACACTTTGCTATAAAGACAACCTTTTATCATCTTAAAATCATCCTACTAAAAAATGTGTCCCCACTG